TAATAGCTTTGTGATTTTAGGCAATTACTTAACCTCAATTTCAATATTTTTAAAGAGACACAAGTGTTGCCTTGGAAGAACATGTGGATTAAATATGAGCTATAAATATTCTGGTACATAGTGCAGATAGTGAATAGTCATTGCTTTTGTCTACCCAAAATTCTTTCTTCTCTTATAGTCCCATCTCTTCTTTTTGTACCACATTCTCTGTTCACGTGGCTATGGTGACACTGACTCAGTCCTTGGCTACACCAATGATCATGTGATATTGATCTGACCAATGTGATCATCACATATCCTTGGACACAGTGATTGGTTCAGAATAACCCACATTACCTAAGTAAAATCAATCCCAGGATATATGGTGGTGGTGGTGGTTATGTGCCCAGGATATATAAATTTACTTTCTTTCTGCTGTTGTTGACTTTTGAAAAAGAAGCAAACTCTTTCTCTTGAGGTTCCTAGGTTGTAGGATATTACTGGTGGCTATCTCTCCCTTCTTGTGCTTTTGTAGGAGGAGCCTGCTTCAGAATGAAATCAGCATAGGAAAGAATCAAGCCAAATAAGAAACAGTGCATTTTTGGATCCATCATTATTAAAACAATAGTTTTAACTGGAATTTGGGCACTTTCAATGGAAGGATCTTAGACTAGTATAGAAGGTACTTGAATTCTAATCATAATTTTTCATCAACATCATATTCTTGGGACCATTTTTGAGACAGAATGGGAGTTGAAGAGGAAGCAAAGGGCTTAAGGAAGAAATATCAAACAATAATAGAATATGTATGGGGTAAAGCAAGATTTGGAGGTCAAACATGGTGCCTCAAATGGAATCGCTGTTAGTTCTAGAGGAGCCAGTGACATGCAAAGAAAAAGCATAAATTGGTGACTGTTCATATGACAATTCATGGAGTCATAAGCATTTAAGTATCATCTACTTATCTCATTTTCTGTTAAATTATGTTGGCAAGAAAAATCCATTAATCCCAATTAAAAAACAAACAACTTTCTCTATAACCAATATAGAAATATAAAAAAATTCTGGAGCAATTACATATGAGAAATGAATTGAAAATCACAAATTTATGTATTATTCTCATGCATCCTCATTAAAGAGGGAATATGCATCACTTTAGAACAGCTGACAAAAAGGTAAGTCCCTTTTAAATGGTCCATGAGACAATTCAGTAATGAATATATTTTTAAGTGAATATATTTTTCACATTTCAGAGTTAATAAACTTACCCATTTCTACTACAGATCTAAAATACCTCATTCTATTTCCAGTAAAATGTCACATTGTCAAAAGGATATTTCCTTCCATGGAACTAATGAGTCATCTGTAATTTTAAGAAGAACATGAGAAGGGAGAAGTTTTCTGTAATAAAGAGTGGGTGAAGAATTTGGATGTATAGTCAAATGGTGCAAAATCAACCCAAGCTATGAAAGGAAACTGTGAAGAAAAAAAAAAAAAAAAGGTGTGTTCACAAGCTAAAATGTGCCTTGATACACAGTTAAAGTAAATAAACAGAAGAGTTCAACCTAAGTTATGTTCTAGGACTGGTGGACTAGAGCTAACATGATATGGATAATTCTAAGCTTTTATTCTGACAGCACTCTCACCTCATTCCTTAGTTCTTACCTTTGACTTCTGAAGGCTTAAATCCTTTGGGGATCTGGAAAGTCCTCATACTTCTAGACACCATGAATGTTCATAATACTATCATTTCTTCAGTAACTACTACAATATCACTGAACATGGCTTAAACTTTAATAATTTTACTAGAGTACGTGAACATTATATAATGTGTACATTTTTAAACTAGAACAAATGGATAAAAATATGTGGGCATATGCCATCTGAAAATACATTACCAGCAGTGGCGTTTCCATAGCTCACTGACATTGTCTTTGTTAAAGATCAAGTAACACTTCACTGTGATTTTGTGTTGTTCCTATTCATACTAATTTCTTATATTTTTATCACTGTGCTTTACTGTAAAACAAAATTTAAAGGATGTATTCAGCAACCATTTTTATAATAAGCTTGCTTTCTCCCTCTATACATTATTAAGAAAGAAACTAGAGACTTTGTATATTGATTAAAATGATAAATTAATTATTGTACTTGAGTTAAACTTTAGGAAATACCATGGCTTAACAGATGTTTGCATATTCTAACTCATTCAACCAAACAAATCCATGTACCACCCCTAGATCAGTATAGAGGGAAATTTCATGAAACATGTCCACAAGTGACATTTCCATCATTCTAGGCCTTTAGCTACACCACAAGTAATTAATTGTTTTAAATGATGAGTACCATGACAATCTCAGACACTGAAGTCAGTAAAATGAAACTACTCATCACAAATCAAAAGACATATTCATTATTTTTAAAAGTCTGGGAATTTTCTAAGTGTTTCAACTTTAATCAGAACAAATAAATCCAGAATTTCATAGTATTCCTCAATACCAAAATAACCCAATTGTGAAGGAAAATTAAGTCTGAAAGCAATGTACAATGCCACTTTTAGAGAGTTTTAAATAAAAATGCAAAAGAAAGAAACTGCAAACATGTAGTTCAATCAGAGTTCTAAGCATGCCACATTAGTTTTTAAGGATTTTAATCCTATATAAAGTTTCATATAATTGCTGTTGAGTGACTTACATTTGAAGACTTATCTGATGTCAGCTCAATGTGAAAGAAAGGGATGTGCCTTACCTTGGAAAAAAACTTCATGATAATAAAAAATTTCTCTTCTCAGATTGTTCTACTTGCATATTGTGATTTGTTCCAAAATGTGTTTTTCCTTCCTTACACAGTGCTCATTTGAAGATAAGGAAGAGGCTAAAGGTAAGTTTGGATATCAGCTGAGCAAAACGCAGAAGGGTCACGTCAGCACAAGAATCTGGTTGGCTAGTCATCCCAATATAATTGGTCTTTCACGCTTAGTATTAAGGCCTTCCTTTTAACATTTTGAAAGCATATACATAATTTATTTTCTTTGGTTCACTTTGGACTCCTTGCCTTTGTATCACATTTTTTATATAACACTCATTATAAACTGTGGATTATTTAGGTTGGGGATACTCTTTCAAGGCAACAACTTCCATCAGTTGGAAAGGTCTTTAATTTAAATGAACAGATTGACTGGCTTCTGGTATCCACCCGAAGAAGAACTGCCTTTGTCTACATTCATTGGGTTGACCCTTCCCAAAACATTCATTTACTGTTTTACCAATAAGGACACAGCATAGGAATTGACATGCTAGGCTGCATCCCTATTTGATGAAACAGTAGACTCTGGGGTAGCTTTAATTGATTTTAGATGAGGTGGTGGTGGTTGGTATCTGATGATCAAAAAAGGTCGCTGAGGATTAAATGAGTTAGTATGTGTCAAGCACTTAGAAAACTGCTGTATTATATTTTCAAATATTACACTTATAAAATGTAAATATTATATGTATTGTTAAATATAAAAAAATATGTGAGAAGTGACTCTAAATGATTTGGATGTATCCAGTGCCTATCCTCTCTGATGGGAAAGCATTACTGTGTGGAACACATCAATATCTTTGCTTTAATAACAATTTTTATAGTTTCAAGCAAGATAAAATGTTTGAGCAATTGGAATCTATGCACTTTTACTTTCCTTACACAAATAAAACCCTCATAGTTTGCTTCTATTAATTTGGGCTTTGGCTTCTCAGATGCTATATCAAATTAATTTCCAAGGTACTGATTTAATGATAAAATACATTAGCTAATTTTTCTTATAATTTAAAAGGCAATTATGAAATGGATATTCTCTTACCTACTAGGATTTGACCAATAGAAGTGTTTAAAAGCAAAGTTAAATCAAAGAAAAGGAAATTTATGGAAAACCATTCTTCATCTCTTTACTGTAAAACAAACAAGCTGAGTTTTTTTTAAAAAAAGGTAAGTGTATTATACTTAAACTGACTATATACTGGAAAGTTAAAAGCAATTTTTTTTACATATAGTGCCAGTCATCCTTTTGTGAGGTTGGCTACAGCCAAGGAGAAATGATTTGCAAATGTTTTCAAATGCCTCATGTTTAAACTACCAGACTTACACATTTGATGAGGATTAATTTTGTACAAAAATAATTCCTTAAAGCTTTTGAGTGTTTTAAAGGCCAAGCCCAACTAAAAAGTTTCATTTGCTTAATGGCAATTTTGTGCTTTACCCTTCAATTCAGAGTTCAAAAATATATTTGTATGAAGTAAAAGAAACAATAAAATACTGTAAGTTAAGTCATAAATTTATCTAAGGTCAATATAATGATCATTTTATGATTTCATCTTTTTCTATGTTTTTCTTCTTGGTTTAGAGAAATTATGGTCATTATAATGAAAGCTTAGGTGCTTATACAAGGCATGCTTTCAAGTATGGATACAGAAAAATGCCTGACTTATGGGCTTTTCAAATTACTACGTTTCTTTGTTAAAATTTTATCAATATCCATATATTTCTATCAAAAGACAAATTAAAAAAAAAAAAACCTTTTAGCTCATATAGGAATGTTCTTTTTCAACTAGGAAAGTTCTTTGTGAAAATAACTGGTTATTTATAATGTGATATGAAACCGAAAACCCTGTGGTATCATACTTTGTTCTATGAGAACTTATTAGCAAAATTATTTGAAGTTTTATTAACTGATGATCTCAGAATTTCCGAGTGTAGAAAAACCATACAATTGCACAATAAATCTAATTTAGGGGAAGGATTCTTAAAATTGAATTGGTAATCTATGTTTTACATATATTTTATAGGTATCCACCAGGTACATTCAAGGCAGTTTCATTTTGTATGCTTAAGTAATTTATTTCTCATATATATGCATGAAACATATGCAAATGTATACCATTTCTTAAACAGAAGAGTACTTAAAACTTTATGTTAATTCAGCATGTGTCCAAGGTATGTAGTAGGCAATTAGCAGTAAAATATGCCTGATAGAAAACACTCACTTTCTTATTGATGTAGTATGGGTCCAGGTCCTCCAAGGGCTCTGACACCATCCCTGGAGGAATGTCTCCATATATAAATGGAAGGTTCTTTCCAGCTTCCAAGTCACTATTTGGCTTTGGGCCATTTTCATCATCATCTTTCTTGTCTGGTTTGGGATTCTTAGCCTTTTCTTCTGCAATGCGTCTTTCAATAGTCGCAAGAGATTCTCTGGTGAAGAAGTTGAAGCTGTCAGGTCCTGGTGGTACAAGCACTGTTTGCTCCATCTTGTCATCCTGCACATTTTAATTACCATTTACTCTGCATATGAAAATGCTAAGAAGAAGAAGAAAAAAGACATTTTAGGAGATGAACAGATGTTAATAGATACAAATTCTTGTTATAAAAAGTAGGTAGGGGATTTAAATTTTTGTTTCCACCTTAAACTGAAATCTAATTTCTAAATATAAATTTTAGCAAACTTTTTTATCTTTTGAATTTTATTACATTTTCCATGTTTATCAGTTCTTGTGCTTTACATATAGGAACTATGCTGTGAGCTGCGAAAAGAGACTCACGTATACACAATAACCACAAAAACACAACAAATAAAACTAAACCCACTGTCATCAAGTGAATTCTAACATATAGTGACCCTCTAGGCCACAGTAGAACTGATCCATAGAGTCTCCAAGGCTATAAATTGTTAAGGACTGCCTTATCTTTCTCCCACAGAGCTGATGGTGGGTTTGAATCACTGACCTTTCAGTTCACAGTCCAACACTGACCCCACAGCACAACCAGATCGCTCAGGTTCAAATATGTTGCTGTCATAAGTGCTGTTGAGTAAGTTCCAACTCAAATAGACCCTGTATTGGGTTTCTGAGGAGTGGCTGGTTAGTTTTAATTGCTGACCTTGTGGTTAGTAAATCAAGTGCTTATCCTACAATACGACAGCAGTGCGACAGCTCCAGGCTCAAATATAACTTTAATGAAAGTACACTAAACTGATTAGCATCATGTTACTACAGGATTGATCCTTCTATGATCCAACCAGAAGAAGACTGCATACCCATGGAGGAAGAGGTTAGCTCAGCACACAAGGATGAAGCGGAAAGGGAGTTGTTTCTGGGAGGTCACACAATGCAAGCCTTATGTCTGACAAGTGGCTCCTAGCCAAGCTGGTCAGAAGAGTTTGCTATAGCCAGCTTTAATGATCCATCAAGTATTAGCAGCTGTACTGATAGAACCTTCATCTATTCTGAGATTTGAGATGACTGGAACTGTGACCTGCTCATTGAAATGCTGTAGTTATGTGCGCTCTATTCAGAACCAACTCATAGTGACCTTATGCACAGCAGAATGAAACACTGCCCATTTCTGCGCCAACCTCACAATTGTTGTTGTGCTTGAGCACATTGCTGTTGCCACTGTGCCAATCCATCTCATTGGGGGTTTTCCTCTTTTTTGATGACCCACCACTATACCAAACATGATATCCTTCTCCAGGGACTGGTCCATCATGATGATATAGTCTAAGCATGAGAGATGAAGTCTGGCCATCCCGGTTTCTAAGTAGCATTCTGGCAATACTTCTTCCAAAACGAATTTGTTTGTTACTTTGTAGGTCCATGGTATTTTTAATACTCTTCTCCAACACCATAACACAAAATGCATCAATTCTTCTATGGTCTCCTTTATTCACTGTCCAACTTTCATATAAGGCTACTGGAAATACCATAGCTTGTCTCAGGTGCACCTTAGTCCTCAAACTGAAATATTTGCTTGTGAGCACTTTAAAGAGGTCTTTCTTGTGCAGCAGATTTGCCAGATTCAGTACATCATTTGATTTCTTGACTGCTGCTTCCATGAGTGTTGATGGTTGATCTGGGCAAAATGAAGTCCTTAACAACTTCAATCTTTTCTCCATTTATATGGATGTTATTTATGGGTCCAGTGGCGAGGATGTTTGTTTTCTTTATAGTGAGGAGCAACCTATATTGAGGGCTGTGGGTTTTGATCTTCATCAGTAAGTATTGTAAATCTTCTCTTTCAGTAAGCAAAGTTGTATCATCTGCATGTCGCAGGTTGTTAATGAGTCTTCCTCCAATCCTAATGCCACATTTGTCTTCATGTAATCCAGTTTCTCAAATTATTTGCTCAGAAAACAGATTGAATAAATATGGTGAAATAATACAACCCTGGTGCACACCTTACCTAATTTTGAACCATTCAGTGCTCCTTTGTTCTGTTCCAACAACTGTCTTGGTCTTGGTACAGGTTTCTCAGGAACACAATTAAGTGTTCTGGAATACTCATTCTTTGCAATGTTGTCCATAGTTTGTCATGATCCACACAACTGAAAGCTTTTATGTAGGCAAAAAAGCACAGATAAACATCTTTTTGGTATTCTCTGCTTTCAGCCAAGATCCAGCTGGCGTCATCAGCAGTGATAATCCTCATTTCACGTCCTCTTCTGAATCTGACCTAAACCTCTGGCACCTCCCTGTCAATGTATTGCTACAGCAATTTTTGTATTATATTTAGCAAAAATTTACTTGCATCTGACATTAATTATATTGCCTGATGATTTCCGCATTCCATTGGATCACCTCTCTTTGGAATGTGCACAAATATGGATCTTTTCCCATCAGTTGGCGAGGTAGCTGTCTTCCAAATTTTTTAGCATGAATGAGTTGAGTACTTCCAGTGCCAGAGAAGTTTGTTGAAAGATTTCTGTTTGTATTCCATCAATTCCTGGAGTCTTGTTCTTTGCTAATGCCTTTCATATACCTTGGATGTCTGACCTCGGTATCATTGGCTCTTATCACATGCTACTTCTTGAAATGGTTGCACATCGACCATTTCTTTTTGGTACAATAACTCTGTGTATTCTTTCAATATTCTTTTTTTTTTTTTTAACTGTTTTATTCTGACTTAAGTGATAGTTTACATGGGAGAACATTAGCTTTACGTTCATCCTATCATATATAATTACATTGCAATGGTTACAATCCCATCCATGCATCATCAACCAACCAAAGGTTATACCCTGCAAGCCTGCCCCCTGGTCGTCAGCACACAGTCCCTCTCCCTCTCTGGGTCTAGAGTTTCGAGCTGCTCCATCTCTCCATGTCATCGTCACTGTTTCACTGAGTAGGGTCCCGTACTCTGCTCTTCTCCCTTGCTGGTCCCAGGGTCTTCTGCTCCTGGACTGCAAAATCCACCACTTCGTTCCTTTTGCTACAAAACGCCTACCTTTATATTTCCAACCCTCACAGTCAGTCCTGATAGCAATTATTCAATATTGTACCACATGAGTGCTATCCCCATCTCCTTTCATCAGTCCCGCCCTGACAGACTGGATACTACTCAGTGAAGATTCTACCTTCCTCTGTACCCTTTGGATCAAGGTTCCTTCTTGAAGCTTGTAAGCCAGTCACTTCTTGCCTTTGTAGTCCCTCATTTTGGGTAGCCAATGTCCAAGTTGCCCATCCCTATCTACCCTGTGTATTGAGGGGGTGGGAATGATCCTCACCGTAAAGCTTTGTTCCCAGTTTTGAGCTACTGCATCCATAGGTGTAGGTCAAGTTCGTCAGATTGTATCAGATTACTCTTTTTTTCCTCTTCTATCTTCTTCTAGTTGAGCTCTGGTCATCCAGTCATTGAAGCCAGGTCAAGTGGGTATTATCTGCAAGTGTGGGTGTTCTTGTGCATATGCCCTCTCTTCTTATCGGCTAGATACTTCATTTTCCATTCTAGTCCTCTGTGGCTATGTCACTGACTCTGGGCCCAGGAGTCCCCAGATCTTGCCAAACTTCTAGCCAAACAGGTCTCCACCCTGGTTCACAGGAGTTGATTGAACGTGGTTGGACTTAGCTCACAGCTTCATTGCTGTTTTTCCCTCATTTCCCCTCATGATGGTCACCAATCAGAGTGCTTGTCTGCTCTTGCAATCCCATTGAGTCTTAGTCTTGGAAGGGGGTCTGCCCTGAGGGAACCCAAATGCTTGCCTTGATGTCTCCTGGGTGAGCTATTTACTTGTTCTTGTAGTAGTAGGTTGGACTGCTGTTAGTGTTTTGTATATTTCCTGTCGATATTTCTTTCAAGAAGTATCTTCTGTTCTTCTAGCCACTCCAGGCTCGTCTGCTTGTTCTTTCAAGTGGAAATTTCCCACCTCAGAAGATTCTGGATGGGGTTAAGGATTCCACCTATGGTCATATGTACTGCAGAGGCTCTACAGGAAGCCTCCTTCACTTTAGGTATTCCAATCAGTTATAGGCAGAAGATGGACTTACAAGCTTTCTATGGTGATATTTTTGGCTATTCCTTTTTCTCCCCCTCAATTGTCTATTTTATAATGGCATGCAAGGGTAACTAACCAAGATTCAAAAGACAGCCAAGCATCTTAACATTATTTCCCCCTTTTGCCAATTCCAACCATGCTTCAATCCCTGTATCCCAGAGCCCTGTTGTTCCAAGGTTGTGCATACGTCATTAATTTACCTCTGTCCTACTTGGCCCATGCAAACCTGCCTAATTATTTTCCCATCCACCTTGTCATTTCATTCCCCTCACCCTTCTTGTGTATTGCCCCCCTCCCCAGCACCTAAACTATCTTGTGTCTATTCACTACTCTGTGCTCTACCTTCCTCTCCATCCCCTCACCGTAACCCTCCCCATCCCAGTAACTAGCAAAGAATCCCTCCTCCTTTAGTATGGGTTCTTTTTCTTAGTCCTGTGCAGTATTTCTCCTTTTGTGACTGACTAATTTAACTCAACATAATGCCCTCAAGGTTCATCCATGTTATGTGCTAGCTTACAGCTTCCTTGTTGTTCTTCAAGGTAGCATAATATTCCATTGTGTGTAGGTACCACAATTTGTTTACCCGTTCTTCAATTGATGGGCACTTAGGCTGTCTCCATCTTTTTGCTGCTATGAACACTGGTGTGCATATATGTACTCATGTTATGGCTCATAATTCTTGTGGGTAAATACCAAGTAGAAGAATTGCTGTACCATAAGGTATTTCTATTTCCAACCTTCTGAGGAAGC